AAGGAATCTAGAAGAGGGGGTCTGGCCGGATGGGCGATATATATAGGGGCTGTAACCGGCGTCCCAGTTGTTCCAGTTCCAGATATCCCGGCAGGATATCTGCCTAGATCTGCCTAGATATTAAGGATGCTAATTATTCTAACAAAAACATTATAAGGATAATTTATCTAGATATACTATCTTAACTACTTAGATCTATAACTTTACTTTATAGTAATATATTATATAGTAGTTATAAAAAATAAGGTTAAGTAAGTAATATTTAGTGTCTATATTTAGCTAAAATATCCTAACTATTATTATTAAGTATATTTAGGCTAGTATATAACCTAGGCTAGTTATAGAACCTAATAAGGTTCTAGCCTACTATATCTAGGCTACTATAGTATAAAAAAAAGCTACTATAAACTTATTTATATTTATTAGTAGTATTAGGCCTATAGTAAAGGGTATTATTAAGGCTAATACTTATTTTTACTATATAAGGTTAATTACTAGTTAACTTAAAGGTAGTAGTCTTTATAAGGCTTAAGCCTACCTAACTATTAAGTCTAATAGTGTTAAGTGTATAAAAAGGTAAATAGTACTTAGTAGTTTACTTAGGTAGTTCCCTTAGGGGAATAAGTATACTACTAGTAGTCCTTAGGCTATAAGTAGTATATATATTATTTATCTTAATAATAAAGGTTATTAATATACTTTATAAGATAAGTAAAAGGCTTATACTATCTAGGCCTATATAGGCTAAAACCTTAGTAGGTCTAGGCTATATAAGTAGCTACCTACGCTAAGTAAAAATTAACCTAGTATAAAGTATAAGTATTATTAAGAATAAACTAGTAGTTTACTTTTTTTAGTAAGATCTATTAGTAGGCTAGTATAAGAGCCTAGTAGGCCTATAATTTCTAGTCCTTTGCTTTTTAGTAATTACTATAATATTACTATACCTTTTATTTACTTTAGTAATATACTATCTAGTAAGATATTTTTGCTCTAAGTAAAGGCCTTACCTATTATAATATCTTTATTTAAGTTAGTTTATTAGGGAGGGATTTTTTAAGAAGTATTTAGCACTTACTTAGTTATATATTTTTCTAGTATAACTAGGTTTCTTAATAACTAAAAGGTTTATAAGTTAGTGTAAAATAGTAAAATATCTATAGCTTCTATATAAAGCTATATATAGGTCTAAATACTTTTTTATATTCTTAATAATTCTTTTTACTATCTAGATATTTAATCTTATCTAGAATAAATTAACTATATTACTACTATCTAGCTTAAACCTTTTTTACTAGTTTATTATCCTATAGAATAGCCTATTACTATTAAATTCTATAAATATAAAGGTATATATATTATTATAAAGGCTTTATAGTAGAGAATAAGTAACTTTATTATTTAGATTCTACTAAAGCTATATATATATACACTATATATTAGTAATTTAGCCTAGTTATACTAGCCTTAGTATACTGTTTTTATAAGCTAATTCTTGTTAAAGTAAAAGGGTATCTTTACTATATCTTAGTAAAAAAAAATTTTAAAGGTGTAGATTAAGGTAGTTATACTACTACTTAATATAGCCTTCCTGCTAGCTATTATAGATCTAATAAAAGAAGTAAGGCTATAATAGGTAATATAAAGTAATATAGTATAAAGGTAAAGTGTAATAGTAAAGTAATAAAACAAGGTAAGTAATAATAAAAAGCTAAATAAATAATATAGGACAAAAGCTAGGTATAAGTATAGGTTGTCTATTTAGGTTACCTTTCCTTATAAGAGGAAATAGGCAATAGAATATATACCCCTAGGTATATACCTAGATATATACTAACAGGGTAATCCTATGTCTTACCTGTTTATCTACTATATAAGGCACTTGTCCTATAATAGTAAGTATATAAGTAGTTACCTAGTTATATAACTTAAAGAATATAGTTAGGCTATTAATTAATAGTTATATAAAAAAGGTAGTAAATATAAAGAATACTATATCTATATAATTTTTATTATTACTAGTAGGTTATTCTTTACTATTACTTACTTCTTAGAGATAACTTATATTATAACCTTTATAGTTAAAAAGAAAGTAGTTAAAGGTAGCTAGTAAAGCTTATATAAAGTAAATGCTTTTATACTAGTTAAATAAAGATTACTACTTCTCTTTAGTATATTTAGTTAACTAATAACTAGGCTTACTATAAATAAAGTATTTTTTAGTTAATTTATTACTACACTAGTTTTTACTATAGTAGTTACTTTATAAAGAACCTTATATTTACTATAGATTAATATAATTATTATAGCTACTATTATACTTATAGTTAACCTAAAATTACTTATCCTCTATAGTAGATTTATCTATAGGGTATTATTGTTACGGGCTATGCCCGGTCAATTGGCATGGGCTGGGTGCCCATCGCTTGCCTTCATAAGTGCTGCCAGACAACAAGTGAGGGACTTGTTGTTACGTACCTTTTGACTATCTGGCCGGATGGCTCAATTGGTAGTGCTCGCCATTATGTCCGCCTGCCTGATGGGCAGGCAGGCCCCACATAATGGGACACTGAAGGCTGAGATTCGCTGGCAGCCGAACTACGCCCACACTAGTGGGGCCTGTTCCTTCACAATTATATAGGTAGCTTATAGTAAAGTAAAGTATTTACTACTTTATTATATAGTTATATATAGAGGCTATAGAATATAGCTAATAAGTTAAAAAAAGCTATAGTGTACTTAGGTATACTATAGTAATAGGTAATAAAGTATTTATAATAATCTTTATCCTTAGGTAGGCTATTATAAGTAGTTACTTTAACTAGCTTAGTAACCCTTTTAATAAGTAACTTAAGGATCTTAAGCTTATTTTTACTATAGTTTTTATAGATAATTAAGTTAAATAATATATAGTAAAGCTTAGTAATATAGGCTAAGTATACCTTATTACCTTTAAATTATTCTTTAAGCTTTACTATTAGAGTATTAAAATTACTTGCCTATTAGTAAAAGGTAAAAGTATAATACTCTTATAGTTTACCTTAAAGTATTACTTAAATTACTACTCTATAGTAGTCTTATATTATACCTACCTAGATATAAAGGTTATAGAATAATAGTAATTTTAAGTTAATAGTCTTATACTAGCTACTAGTGTATTTTATAGCCTAGTTATTAAAGTATATTTTTATAAGGTTATTTATTTACTTTAGTGTTAGCCTTAATATTACTGTTAATATTACTATAGTTAATAAAAGCTTCTATAGTAGTATAGTAGTTATTATATATAGGCTATTAATTTTAGCTATTATATAGGGTTTTAGTGTTAACATAGGCAGTAGTAAGGTAAAGGTTAAGTTATTATAGAAGGTTTAGTAGCTAGTTACTAGTAATAGGTATACTTTAACTATTTTTACTTTATATATAATTATCTTATAGCCTTTAATATCTTTAATAAAGTTAAAGTCTTTAAGGTATTCTCTAAAGTTATATAATAATCTCTTAATAATAGTAATTATCTTATTAGTCTAGTAGGTGTCTTTCTTCTATTAAAAGGTATTAAATATATATTAGGTAATTAATAGGTATTTACTATAGTTAACCTATACTCTATAGTTAACAAGGAAGTTATATAGACCTATTAAGACCTTTAGGTTAATAGTCTTAAAGTTACTAATAAGCTAGTTAGTAAGCTCTTCTTATATATAGTAAAGTAATTTACTACTAAGGTAGTTATTATACTTAGATTTACTAAAGTAAAATATAATAATAGTGTTAAGTATAAGGGATTATTACTTCTCTATAAGGTTAGTTAGTAACCTTATAATATAATTTTTTCTTTATTAGTATAAAAGAATATACTATATAAAAGTAAAAGGTATAGTAATAATATTATTTATTATTATTATTTTTTTTACTATATTAGGTAGTATATTATATTTACTATAAATCTTTTCTTTTTATTACCTTATAAATAAAAGTATAGTAACTTATAAACCTTACTTACTTATAAGCTTATCTTATTTACTTATCTTAGCTTAGGTCTTTTACTTATAGGTATAGTATTATTTACTATTATCCTCTATTAGCCTAATAACCTCTTAAATATAAGTATTTCTTCTAGTAGACTAAAAGGTATATATATTTATTAGAGGGATTACTACTAGTAGTATAAACAGCTAGAGAAAAATATACTCTTATAAGTAAATAACTTAGGGAAAAATAATAGGCTATTATATTAGTTACTTATTAACACTATTAGTTAGTAAAATAAAGAAAAATAATAAGCTATTATATTAATAACTTATTAATACTATTAGTTAGTAAAAGAAGTATATATATAAAAAAAAGAAGTTAGTAAGCTAAAAAGCTTATAATAAATAAAATATAGTAAATAATTACTAGTTAACTATAGATATATAAAGTAAGAGGTTTTTTATAGTTAAAAGTACTTCTCTAAAGGTAATAAAGCTTATATAATAGATATAAATTAATAAGGTTTCTACTAGTTAAAAAGACTAGTTATAGATCTATTAATTAACCTATTATAATAGGTAATTAGTATAATATTATAGTAAAAGTATTTATAGAGGCGTTTTTTAGTCCTTGCCTACTCTAGGTATATAAATAATTAACTAGTAATAATTACCTCTTCTTATAGTCCTTACTAATCTATAGTTTAAATAGTAAAGTTAACTTATATAGTTAATAGTAAAGTTAACTACTAATTAGTGTTAGTAACACTAAGGGATAGGTTAATATAGTTAACTATATATATTAGTAGTAATTAATAAAGAATAAGGGTAACTATAGTTCTCTATTATACGTAAAGAAAAAAAGGATAATTATTATAGGTTAGTTAGTTAAATAACTAACTTATTGCCTATGAATCCCTGGAGAATTCTATGGCTAAATATCTGAGGATTTGCTGGCGATGAGTCATTGGGGTTAACCTGATAACTCCGATATTTATCCGCGATGGTCAACATCGCAACACAAATGTCTTCCAATCAGAAATGGACCAAAAACGGCGGCTAACGACGACCTTCCTAATTAAGCTTATGGTCTGACCGTGGTCTAACCGTTTACGAGACGCAAAGGATCACGGCTTACCAGGCAGCTACAACTCCATTTATAACAAATGTTAACAAACTCTCCTGTATACCAAGTTTGCAAATTCTCTCAGACCCAGGACAATCACAGATTACAGACAAAATGACCCGACGGCTCATTGAAAGACCGGCCTACATCCACTCCCCAGCGATGGGCGGTTCCTTCAGACCAAACTACGCCGACGGCCCTGAACCCCCTTTCTCACCCACCAAAAAAACAACACTTGTCATCATAAAGACCTCCCTCCTCATCCCTGGTGACGGTGAACCCCTCAAAGATGGTGCCCTCGTCATCTCCTCAAAGGTGATTGCCTGGGTCGGACCGCAGTCCTCCCTCCCCTCCGAATACACCGACTCGCCTCACAGATCCTACACGGTGCCTTACCTTATGCCGGGCCTCTGGGACTGCCACGCTCACTTCGGCGGCGAGTCACCCAATGACGACGGGGGCAACGACCCGTACCAGGTCTTCATCACCGAGCACCCCGCCGCGTCCGGCGCACGCCTCACGCGCGGGTGCTGGCTGGCCCTGCAGCGAGGGTACACGTCCCTTCGTGACGTGGCCGGTCTAGGCTGCGAGATCTCTCGTGCGATCGAAGACGGCAGCATCGTGGGACCCAACGTCTACAGCTCCGGATCGGGTCTGAGCCAGCTGGCCGGCCACGGCGACATCTTCTCCTTTCCCGCAGGCGACGTCCTCCTCAACCTCGGCGTGTCGCAAATCTCACCGGGTCACTTTGGAACACATACGACCATGATCGTAGACGGGGTTGACGAGTGCCGGCGGGCAGTTCGGCTCCAGATCCGGCGCGGCGCCAAGTGCATCAAGGTCATGGCCTCCGGCGGCGTCATGTCCCGCGACGACAACCCGAATTACGCCCAGTTTAGCGCGTCGGAGCTCGAGACCATTGTGGAAGAGGCCACGAGACAGAACCGCGTCGTCGCAGCCCACGTCCACGGTAAGGCTGGGATTCTGGCCGCCATCAAGGCGGGCGTCACGACCCTGGAACATGCCTCCTTTGCGGACCGCGAGTGTATCGACCTCATCAAGGAGAAGGGCATCGTCCTTATCGCCACTCGTGTTGTTGTGAACTTGCTCCTCAGCACGGGGGGCAAGGGGCTCCCTCCTACTGTGTGGGAAAAGGCAAAGTTGGTTGCGACGAACCACATGGCGGCTTACAAGATGGCCATCGAGTCCGGCGTCCAAGTTGCTCTAGGCACAGACACAGGGCCGGGGTTCAACATGGCGACGGAGCTGGAGTGCGCTGTCGAGGCCGGCATGAGCAACATGGAGGCGATCAAGGCAGCGACGGCGAACGGGCCGCTGAGCGTGGGAGGACAGGCGCCGAAAACTGGACAGCTGAAGGTCGGGTACGAGGCGGATGTCATTGGGCTGCTGGAGAACCCAGTGGAAGACGTCAAGGTGTTGCAGAAGATTGAGAACGTCGGCTGGGTTTGGAAAGGCGGGAAGCTCTTCAAAGGACCGGGGGTCGGGCCGTGGGGCGAAGACCCGGGTGTCTGGGAAGACATGCCGGCGGTTTCGCGTCTTCGTTGTAATACTGGGTACTAAACAGCTTCATCTATCTCCTGATCTTGGGCTTGATATCTCACCTTGCTTCCCGCCTTACTTCTAGCTAGTTTGTGTTTCGGCTTTCCTTGTCTGCATACGCTAGCAAAATAGGCCGCCTCATACCACAGCTGTCGGAGGGTAAAGGGTTCCTGAAAGGATAGGAGACCACACCTAAGAAATTGAGTGCAACTGACCTGTAGTTTGAATAAAGTATCACCCCTCTCTTCATTCTCATAGTCTAATTTATCTTGCTTCTGGTGACATGTGTCGCTCGCTCCAAGAGTTTCACTGAGGGGTTATCCTAACATTGCAGCGTCCAACGTGACTTGTAGGTGCTCCTCAAGACTAGCCTTCCTAGCATTTGAGTGCGCATAGCTGCTTCCAAGTTGATAAAGAGAAGTGGAGCAGAGCCTTTATGCTCCTTGGATCCCCGAAACTCCGGTTTAGGACGTTGTCGGTTGTCAAATATGACCTCTCGACCTACGTTGTCTGTATCTTTGTGATGTAGATTTGATGCATCAGGCATCAAAGAGATGGCACCCCAAAACTGCTTTGCAGTCGATAGAACACAAGACTTCAAAGGCTTTGCACACGTGTCGTCATTCAAGACTTCCTCGAAGAAACCCGAACATTGTAGACCGCCAATCCCATGTCGCTCAAACCTACGTCAGTCAACCCTCTTGTCCCGACATCTTAAATGCCACCCATCCCCAAATACGTATACACCGACCTCATGTTCCTTCTGAGCATCCCGCATTCCTTTCTCGACTGCCTTTCCCCAAGAAACTGACCAATAGCAAGAATGTCACTCAACACGACCCAACCAACGTTGGAATACGGTCGCCAAGTTGTCCTCGGCTCCAGGCTCCGGCCCGTCAAGATCCAAGACGCCGTGTACAGCAGACTCATCGAAATGGCTGACGACGACGAAGACTGCGAATTTGCACGCTGGCTCCTCCTTCAGGTCTGCGAGATCTTCAGAGACGATATTGACGACCAGACGGCTACCGTGCCCATTGGTATGGGTGAACGAGAGTACACCGCCGGCTGGAAGGATGCCCTCGCAACCATCCGCGGCCTGTCTGCCCTTTGCCTCAAAGGACCGCTGGAAGACGAGGACGCATGCCGATCAGAGCCACCTGACGTGTTCACTCACAGCTACAGGGGTGTGGAGCAATCTTACCAGGAGGGCTTTGGGATTGAGTGGGACGAAGAGCGGGAGAGACTGGACTGGGGATACGAAATCCCCGCGCGTTGTGGCTTTATGGGTATTACACCCTCCGCGTTCGGGGACACTCAACAGAACTCTTCTTCGAACGCCTCGCAAGCCTCCAGCAGCTTGATCAACACCCCTTCGAGCGTCAGTATCAGCGACTCGGTCCTTCAAGCCCTCTTCCCTCCGTACTCCTCGGCAGAGTTGTCGTCCTCCTCCAACGGCTCGTCCCCCTCGAAGCGGGCTCCTTCCACCCCCGATTTCCGCCAGCCACCCAACGGGCACAATCGGAACCTTAACAAGTCCGACATAATCCGCGGCCTCGACACGACCGCGCTGCTCACCCATTTTGAGCGCCAATCGCGCCTCTCGGAGCGCCGTATCGTTGCCGAGCTCGGCCGGACGAGCCTCCTCCGCCAAGCTATCTTCCAGGACCGCTTCTTCGGCCGCGTGCCATCCTTTGCGGGAGCCCCGGGCGGCGATGACCTCGTGAACGATGAGTACGACGCGACCGATATCACGGATGGGATCAATGAGCCATTCCTGGGCGAGGCGCAGCAGATGCGTGCGGTGAGGCAAGTCAAGACGCTGTTCCGGCAGTGGCGGAAGGCTGCGGCGGAAGACCGGGTGGAGGCGAACGAGGATTCGGACGGGGGTACCCGGGTGACGGGGCGAGAAGATAGCGACGACGGCGACGACAGTGTATCGAGTGATTCGGCGAGTTCATTCCACGCTCCGGAGCCCTGGCTCGAGAGCCACGCCGGAGCAGCGCCGCCTCCCAGCCCAGGGTCGGAGTCCGTCTATAGCGACGATACCCTGTGGCCGTCAGCAGCTTCCGAGCCCTGCGACGAAATGTCGGCACTGATGGCTCCTCCCATGCATCATTACTCCATGCGTCATTACTGCTCCCTGATGGTCAATGGGCCGTACTGCACAGACACCGATGACTCCAGTCACGACCACACACGCCTGGATGAGAGCGGACCAAGCAGCGAATGGAAAACGTTGTAGACGGTATGAGAGATGGACGGTTCACGAAAACATGTTTTGCTAGTAGGAGGGATCGTCGATAATGTATTTTTCCATTTGTTCTTTTTTCGAGGGGGTATCAATTCGTTTGGATTGGGGCTGGGGTTCCACCTGCGCTTTGCGATTCTAGACTTGGGCAGGTTAGTTTTTGTTTTGAGGGCGTTCCAACCAGGATAGAATAGCAAGAACTGAAGTGTTTACTTACGAAGCATGACCATGACTGCTCCCTTCGCTCTATTATCGTCCCTCTTATCCGTACCCAAGCCCGAGAGCTTCAAGGGAATCTCTCTCTCTCTCTCTCTCTCTCTCTCTCCCTCCAGCCAGCACCTGCGCTCCCGAGCCCGCGCCTATTCAATCTTTCCCGTCTCCATATCGATCTCCTCGGGCTTGCTCTCCTCAACCCCCTCGACATCTGTAAGGGTAAAAAAAAGTCAGTCTCGGCCGTACCCAGCTCGCGGTCCCCCCCCCCCCGGGGAGGTACGACGCTCACTCACCCTTCATGGCAACCTCGCCCTCGGCGGCCATCTTCCTCCTCAGGGCGTGAGCGATCCTCTTCTCGAGCTTCTTGGCCTTCTTCTTGCTCAGGGGCGCGTTGGGACCACTCGTGGGGGCCAGGCCGGGCCGCGCGCCGCGCATGGAGTCCGTCTTTGCGATCTTGTGCCGGTTCGCCTCCGACTTCTTCTTGCGCTCCATCTTGGCGCCGAGGGCCCTGTTGGCCAGGCGGTTCTTGGAGGGACCGTTGGGATTCTTGACGGAAGGCATCGTGGCGTTTGGTCGTATTCCTCTTTTGTCTTCGAAGGGGGTTCTGGTTTCGGAAAGAGTAGCGAGTTCGCAAAGGCTTTGACAAAAGAGAGAGAGAGAGGACGAAAATGCGGTCGAGGGGGTCGATCACCGCTATGGAATTTTAATTTTTTAGTGGAGATGGCGGGATGCACTACACTACAGCCAGGGGGCCTAGGCGTGGCGTGTGTCCCCGCATGCCCCTCAACCGCCGCCCACTCTTTATTATTTCTCCCTCTCAATCCGCACTCACCGACGGCTTCAGGTACCAATACCCAAGGTAGAAGAACAAGGTCAGCTAGCCGATGCATTGAAGAGCAGGGGAACACCAGGACTGAGCGTCAAAGGACTAGATGGGACTCTGATGCCGAGTAATTACAACTTTGTTGACTCCGAATGTCTCTACCTGTCAATATACTTCGATCTCTGGTCAAGCTTTTGTTGCCGTGACGGGCATGATTACATTTCGAATTTGAAGGCAATATGTACATGATGTTTACACTCTTCCAAACGCTAGATTCTTGTTCTTTTCAGACGCCGCCCAGCCCATTACAACAAATATGCGAGCGTCCCCGGACCCAAACGCCAAGCCTGAATGCAAGATATGTCATCCTCGTCTATTTATTCATTCAATGCCCATGAATAATATGTGCTTCTTCCTGTCTTCGCCCTGTCCCCTCACTGCGCTACTCGGTCGCTGTTCTTACCGATCGTACTGGGACTGCTTGGACTTCCCAGAACTGGCTCGTCGTCTGTTTCCTCAGTCAGGCCCTTGCGAGCATCGTCCTCGTCGTCGCTCATGAGTCCTTCGAGTTCAAACTCCTCGGCATCACGCACTTGGCGGTTCTCGCCAGGACGGCCGTTGGCTACCGGGATACCGTTGGCCAGGACGACTTTGCCGTCCGGGTTGGTGTTGCGGTCGAAGAGGTGGATGAGCATCATGGTGAAGAGGAAGAGCAGGAAGGCAAACGAGTACAGGATGAGGATGTAGGAAACGTGGTCGAGACCCGAGTTAGCCACGAGAGCCATCTGCTCCTCGGTGGCACCCATGAAGAGGAAACCGGAGGCGTACAAAAGCTGCGCATCGTTAGTTGCTGTTCGTGTGGGTATCCGCATCGGACGAGGGCGACTTACAAAAACGGGAATGAATTGCCAACTGTTTGTCTGGCGTCCATCGGCCGAGACTCCCGGGGCGTCCCTGACAACAAAAGACACCTCGATAATTCGGGTGATGCCGACTCCCATCAGCGTCTTACCAAACATATTGTGGGTCATGGCACTGATGGGCAGGTCCTGGGGATGGGCGGACATGGCCCAGCCAGTGGCACCGATGACGAAGCCAGGGATGAAGTTTCGCTTGGGGTTCCCGTCACGATCGCGGCTGAGCCAGATACCAACTAGACCGGCGCACCACCAGATGATGCCCATGGTGGTGTGCTGCCAGTCGTTCCTGACCCATGCCGTGCCCCATCGGTGTTCCGTGAAGGTGTTGACGCAGCCCCAGGCCGCAATAACAATGCTGTCGAAAAACTCCTGCGACCGACCGCTGCGACGGATCCAGAGCTGTCCGACCAGGAGCAGCAGCGTCAAGATGATGCCGTAGGCAATGAAGGCGCTGCCCATAATAAAATGGGCCAGGCACTGGCCGAGATGGTCGCCTTGGCAGAAGCCCAAAGAGGTGATGCCGCCAAACAGAAACTGGGTCCAAGCCAGAACAGGAGAGGCCTTGCCCAGGATGCCGTGGGCGGGCTTGATGAATCTGCGGATGCGACCGTTGATGCCCTTTTCGAGGTGCAGCTTCAAGTAGATACCCAAGGCGACCTGGGCGGCCATTATGATCATGAGCCAGGTGGCAAAAGAGGCGTGAACGTTATGGTGCAGAAATTCTCGGCCACCGTGCATGTGGCCGAGGAAGTAGCCGAGAATGGCGAGGGCGGAGCCAAGGACTTGAGTCGGAACGTGCCAGCGGTTCTTGGTCATCTGTAGAAGGGGGAAGGAAGGCGAGCGTCAGCGATTGCGCGCGACCGTCAAGTGGTGAATTGTAGCGTTAGGCAACTTACTCCCAGCACCATGCCGACGGGGAAGATTACCCCGAAGGCCAGCATCATGATGAAGATGTGTATCCATAGTATGGAGTCCTGTTCCCTCAATCAGCGTCTCGTGTCCTTTGGGTTCTTCTGGCCGTGCCCCCTTGATTGATGTCGGTGGATGCAAGTTGGGTATTGCTCACGATGGGTTCCTGCGAGATGGTCTCGCCGTCCTGGATGTGGCTGACGCCGTGATCGTGACCGAGAGCCATGGGGAGAGATGTGAGGATGATTGCAGCAGCGGCGGCGGCAAGGGAGGAGGAAGATTTCAGCGGCGACGAGGCCATAGAAAACGGGTGCAGCGCCATGACGGGCGTTTCGAAATAGGCAGAAGCGTTCCGCCGTCCCCTGTGCTGGGTGTCAGGGTGGTGCTGGAGCCCAGACGTGTCACAGACTTGAGCCTGACGAGCGGGGCGGCGTCGCGGCGTCGCGGCGGGGGCGACGCAATTGGCGAGGCTCGGATCGGACGAGGTGTACGGTACAGTACTGTACACTATGAGGGAGGGAGAGGGTCGTTGTGTCGGTCGAGACTCGAGGTCAAGAAGAAAGGATCGGGGATCGCTGATCGGGCGGTAGAGCAAGCGAATGCCTACGGCGTTGTAGCGTGGGGACGAAGAGACGGGGGTGGTGGTGGTGGTGGTGGTCAATGGGTCTGAGAGTTCGTCGTTACTGATGGCTGACTCGAAGAGTACCTATTCGAGACCACCTTTGCCTGTAGGTAGGCAGGTAGGTATGTAGCTTTTTGGATGGGATGGGACGGACGGCGCGGCGCGGCCAAAACCTCGGACGCAAGGGCGTGACGGAAGAGGAGGAGGCTCTTTTGTGAGCGACGGACAATGTAGATGGAGGGAAGAAAAAATAAGAAGAAAGAAAGGAGGGAAAAAAGAGGGAATTCATGCCAGGAATCGAGACTTGCTTGTTGCACTAGAATAAAGGAGGAGATTTACCATCTGCTCCGGCAAGTTCAACCCGCTCCCCCCCCTCCATCACCCGACAAAGGATGTAGCGCAGCACCAGTACTTCGTACTCTCCTATACTATTTTGTATTAGGTGATACCTTTTACTCCATCGCGTTCCACCCTCACTGGGCTGCCGAAGGCTCCGGCTCATCAGATTGCCAACGGGGGCCCAGCCATCATCCATGTACCTTCTCGTAGCGTTATCGGTAGGAGAGTACCTACACGCATTTCTCTCTCCCGACCCTTACCCACCTACCTTGTACATATTAGTGTACCTGAGTAAGATTAGTACAAAGAGAGCAGCAGCCTGCGACGCCCGCCTTCCCTCCGTCCAATCCCATCCAGGCACCTCTCCGTTCGTCAGCGAGGGTACGTACCTCCAGCTTACGGCATGGTCCTCGCCAAAAATGCGCCCATTTCCTCCTAATATACAATATCTACCGGTATATCCGTCCCTCCCTACATATTACCTAAGATATAAGGGAATATTAGCTAAGAACACTGCCTCAATACCAAATATCCTCTCCGCCCTTGCCAAGAGCTTTTATCCATAATCAAATGGACATAATAATGGTTAGAGTTACGAATAGTCGACGTCTACAGAGCAGCGGCAGTCATGCCTGGAAAACCGTCTCTCCCTTCCAATACCAAAGCCACCCTAGCTTATTGAGGAACGCCCCTTGGCCCCATATATGAATCACGCGTAATGCTCTTTTCACCCTGTTCTTCTCCGCCGGAGCCGCCGCTGCCACGGTATGTTGAAGCCATTCGTCGAATTTCCCATTCCCTTGAGAGAACTTTGACAGGCTCTACATAAAGTTCGTCGCAAATATCATTGAGCCAATATGCAAAAGTGGCCTAGCTGGCCACGACTGATGACGCGTCCACTTCCAAGTCGCCATCCTTAACCGTAGCCGTTGTTTGGTTCCTAAGGTCTCATCCGGCTGGTGAAGAGGTTCGTCCCTTTGCGACCTGTGTCCGCATGAGCTTCAACGAACGCCTGGTCCGTTGTCCCAAGGCCAAACATAGGAACAGGATCGAGCGTCGCCCGTGAATGAGCCTTCACCATCTTGAGTTGAAACGGCATGGACGCACATCCAATTTCCAGCGAAAGCCGTGACTGGACGTGCTGTTAATGCCCTCGCATCTCGTACCTCTGTAAACTTCCTCGGTTTTGCGGGATCTCACGTCTCGGCTGAAGACACATCGCGAGATGTATCCGTAAGAGCCAAGGCAGGGACATGGAAACAAATGGCCGTCTAGCAAGACCTTCATGGCGTCCACGCCCAATAGTCACCATCCTTTTTCACGCGCCGCTCGTAACGTCCTTGGCAATGAGTTAACTTGACCAATGGCTCGGCCCCAGCAAGTCGAACAACAGAGAATGGCATCTGACATACTATGTTGACCACCAAGCACACGACCTCGTCCGGATATTGCTGATGAATGGCTCCGGCGCCGACACCTACACGCCCCGCCGGGGCGCCATTACCCAACCGTCGTCAACCAAAACGTCTAGCGCCGCCGTCTCCTAATCTTCTATACGATTGTCGCAGCCGCCAACCATGTACCTCTCGTCTACCTGCTGCCGTCACATGCCTCGGCATTCCGGCTTCCATCACTCGATGATTAGTATTGCGTGCTGTGTGTCGGATGATATTACCAGTCGCCTGGGGAGCCGGGTGTTAATCTTTAGAGATTATGTTCATGCAAGTTCACTGGCATGCGCCTTGGTATTATGATCAAATATAACTTTATGGCGGGTGGCCCAATATCCTCCAAATCTCATACCACGATCGAGAACACATGGACCCTCCTTCTGAAATCATCAACACTCGCTCACTCACACGACAAGACTTAGTAAGTATACCGGAAGCCTTGCTGGGCGCCCTCCTGCGAACCCGAGTCAGCAGTCGTTCAAGAGGTATGCGCCGTTGGGTGAGAAAACTTACATCATCGGCCTCGAGCTCTATCTCGCCCTGATCGGCCTTCTTGTTCTTGAAGTAGGCGTCGAGGGTCAGCAAGCCAACCAGGACCATGGTCAATAAGGTACAAGCGATGCAGCCGTATATGCCCGGGCGGTAGTGAGGCTTGTCCTGCTCACGGAAGAGCAAGCTACCGGCAATACCACCGATACCACCGAACGATACCAGTGTCGCACTGCAGAAAGCTCTCTTCCACTGGCCGCGGATGTTGTTGGCCTGGTAAGCCATAACGGCCGGAATTTGTGAATTGGCGCCCGCCGTTGTCAAGAAGACGCCGAAGTAGCGCACCGCGGCGCTCGAGTGAAAGCCCATGATTGGCAGGCCGACGATGCAGAACAGCGTGTTGATGAGGACCACAGGGCCGCGGAACTTCATCTTGTCTCCGAGCCAGGCGGTGCCGAACATGATAATACCGGCAAAGGCGTACGCCGGCGCGACGAGGCACTGCGCAGCGCCGACGTCGAAGCCCATGTTGACCTGCAGGATTATGGGCAAGAAGTACGCGAGCGCGTAAGTGACGGTGGTGGTGTTGAAGAAGATCATGGCGTATGCCCAGATCCTCCAGTCGGCGCCGGCGCGGAGGAACCTGCCGAGGTTGAAGGCGGGCATGTGGGCATCGCCGCGGTCACGATTCACGCGCGCGACGATCCAGGCGCGCTCGCGGTCCCCGAGGAAGTTCCAGTCCTTGCGCTTGGAGTCGGGGAAGTCGACGAGCAGCCAGTAACCCACAATGCCGAGCACGCAGGTAAGCGCACCTTCTATCTAATGGCACAAAAGTCAGCATAAGAAGAGCTTAAAAGGTAATAGAGAGGAGTTACAATGAAGATCCACCGCCATCCGGTGAGGCCCTGCTGCCCGTTCATCTGCATGAGGCCGTAGGCAAGGATACCGGCGAAGGCAGAAGCGACGCATCCGAGGAGGTAGAAGACCGAGTAACGCTTCCCGACCTCGTCTGGCAGATAAAGTCAGTGGACTATGCGGTGAATGCGACTCGGACGGGGGACTTACATCTGGTGTACCACGTGCTGAGGAGGTAGACGCAGCTAGGGAAGAAGCCGGCCTCGAGGACACCAAGCAAGATTCTGCACGCGTACAGATGGGTGTACCTGCGCGAGAAACCCATACCGATCATGACGCCACCCCACAAAAGGGTGAGCCCGCCAAGGTGAAGACGGGGGCCGACCTTGCGCACGATGATGGTCGAGGGCGGCTGGAAGATGATGTACGGGACGAAAAAGAGCAGAGAGGCAATGCTCTGTTCGAACCTCAGGTCAGACATGCTTCATTCCCTAGGTGAAGCCACAGCACGTTGTACTTACATATCTGTCGTCAAGGTAAAGAGACAGCTCCTTGGTCATGCCTGCGATGGCGGCGGCAGACAGGTTCGTGCGGTCCATCAGAGAAACACAGTACATGGCGCCGACGGTCACGACGAGTCTGCGGTCGATACGGCGGATGATCCTGCGCTGCTCCTCTGGCGTAAAACCGGCGTCGACATCGATGCCTTGAGAATCATTCGAGCTGCTTCTGATTTCGTCGGCGTTGTCGAAGCCGGCCTTCTCGGGGTCCTGGGCAGGTCGATCCATGGTAGAGACGATCGTCGTTTGGGGTTTTCTGAGTCGCCAATACTGTTGAAGAATCCGATCTCAGGGTAGGTGTGAAAGATGAGGGAACTGAATACCGTCCTCGGAAGGTAGGCCGACGTGGGGTGAGGGGGGGGGGGGGGGGGGCACAGAGAAGCTGCACGGCTTGCGTCACTCCAGAGGTCAATCAAGAGATTCGGTTCGCTGGTCGGACGGTTGAGGCCTTTAGGTTATACAACCACGAAAATGCCGTCCGAATAAAGATCCAACAAAAGAGATTCGGGGAGGGGGTAAAGCCTAGAGGTTATCTACTCAAAGAAGCGGAGATCCCGAGATTACCATCGGATGACACCACCACATATCCTCGATAATGCTGCGCATACGGCCCTTTGTATCTTTTCGTTTCCTGTCCTCAGTCAGCTGCTCCACGAATATGGCAACCCTCTCCTCCCCTCGACTCAGGGCCCCTAGCCCTCCAAAAGACGAGACATACCCGAAAAAGAACCAAGGGCCAAGACTAGCCCTCGCGGCAATCTAAACCACCGGCATCCTCACCCCCTTCCGCCCCCCCGTTTCCCCAGAAAAAAAGCACGCGAAAAGAGGCTTAGCTGGTCCAGGTTGGCAGACACCCCCGCCTCGAAAGGAGGAGGGGACCACCCCCGATGCTGCTCTCTTTTACTGCGGGGGGGCCAATCAAACGCAAAACAAGACATGAGAATGCCGAGGGTGGCGGTAAACAACGCAGAAGAAGGGAAAGAGGCATGTCGACAGAATAATAGGGACACCAAGAAAGCGGGACTTGATTGATGACCGGGGCGTGACCGCAGCTCTTCATTGTGACCGGAAACCTAGAATGCGGGTGTGCGTAAGAGAGAGAGAGAGAGTGTGTGTGTGTGTGGGTGTGTGGCATGAAGGCAAAGGATGCCCTCTAGCCGTCAGAGGCAAGAATTTCGACCTCCGGACAATAAGACAAACAAGCGGACGGTCAACACGCATAGAGATGGCAGAGAAATTAAGGAAGACGAGACCGGGGCAAGCTCCCAGCGTTCCCAGACATTGATTTGCAATTTCTTTTACTACATACAGCACATGTCCGCCTACTCTTCGATGAAAAGCCTTACGTTCTCTCGCCTTCAGCCTCAACAAGCCAGCAGACTACACACAGACCAATGTTAAAATATAGGCTATCAAACCTAGAGTGGATTTGTCTACCGGTAGGTCTCTGGCTGCGGGGTAAAGCCACTAAATCAATGTAAACTAGGTGCATGTGTGTGTGTATGGGATGACTGCAGCCTCCTCTCCGTCCCAGCCCCGCGCGTCCGCATGTAGGTGGTGAGGAGAAGCGAGAAGGAGGAGCCGTTCTTTGGTTGGATGACAGCCAGGGAAAAGGGGGGGGTTAAGGTTCATGGTCACTCAGATGGCACTACCTATGCGGATCCATGAAATCCAAACGTATACGGATATAAATTAGGCGACTTCGACTCGGTAGAGTGTTTTGCGCCGGAGCGACTTGGCGGCTATTATACGATTGGCCTGCCTGCCGGCGGATTTCCCTTTTCGGCTCTAGAAGCGAGCTGAGACCGAAAGCATGCACGCCCACGCGACGAGACCCCGAGAACGAGCTACCGGTACTTATATTAGTGTCTGGGAAGTGAGCTGAAGATGGTGTTGCTTTTCCGTTCCTGCTCCTCTGGTGATGCTCGCGGCCCGGAAGCAGTGAGAGCATCCGTGTTATGTAGGTAAGAAAGGGGGAGAGAGGGAAAAGGAAAGCCGGGATACGAGAGCGGGGAAGGGGGGGGTGGTACGTAGAGTGTGCAACGGAGTAATACGCGGAGAATATTATGCCTAGTCTTCATGTTAAATGACACCGACTCGCGGGAGAACATCTTGCAGAAGTGACATAACCATGTGCAGTGTGCTACTCCATCCCACGTCTGCGGGCCTAGCAATGGCGTCTGTCGGTTTCTCGCAAGACAAACACGACCCCCTACCCCACGGGCTGGCATAGCAGCAATGCAGAGAACGGCATGAAAGCTCAGGAATGGTTTGGGAATGGACCATTGGCTCTCAACGACGTCGTCCCACGCTGACGGTACGCGTGGTATGGTCGTATCCGTTTCGCACCGAGGATAGCCAGAATAAAGTTCACGACTCCTCCCGCCTTTTCTCTTCGTGAGTCGTGTTCCAGGGTGCTGTGCAGACGGGGCTTAGAGACCCCATCAAGCGCAGTCTGTCAGGGCCAAGTCAGAAAGGCAACATGATAGAGGTTGCATTCTGTTTAGGTACGATACGATACGATACGATATACACTTGCCACCGGACGCCAACACACCGCCATCAACCTTGGCCAAAGTCTCGCGCCACGCTCTCAATACAGCTCTTCGTCAACGGCCGCTGAACGCATCGACATGGCATTGTGAGACCCCCAACCATGGCAAGTTCATTCAGACGAACCCACCATCCCGTCGGTCCCCGACCGTATCCGCGTTCTATAACTATCGCTTGCGTTCTAGCGCACCTTAAAGCCAATGTCGTGCCAGATTCCACTACCGTGACTGTGGTTCAGGCGACTTCTTTGCTCTCCCTTGCGTTGGCATCGGGGTCGAAAGACCGGACATGGTCACCTGATGTTCATGTGCTTGATGCTACCCTTTTTCATTCATCCTGCACCATCCTGGCTGTGTTACCGACCCAAGAGCATTAGCCCAAACCATCCTCTCCCTGCTCCTAAGTTCTTTTGGATATTGAGTTACATACACACCGCCACCTTCTTCTGCTTAATCACCTATCCTCCACATATCATTAACCTCATCCCAGACTAACGTAGGGGCAACCAGTACCCAATCCAGACCTCGCACAAATGTTCTTTCAACCCTCCTCGCTCATCGAACCTCGGCATCTCTGATGGTTCTACAGAGTACCATTGGACAGCAATTACTTGTTTGCTTCCCAGGCAGATGATAACTGAAGCTGGATCTCGACCGCAAGATATCCTATGCAATTCCTGGACTTGTCATCTTGGCCGGCGTGCCACGCCGCCTTTCAGCTTCTTCGACTGCTTCAACTACTCTCAATCCCAGGATTACGACCGCTGCCAGGTGATATGTGCATATCTTCGCTCGTCGACAAACAGAAACAGCCTATCCATCACAATTTTGTAGGATGCAACACATTTGGCGAGCTGGGTCGCTTGTTCATTTATCACCAGCAAACCCAGACATTTCGTCTCCCAACTGATACTTCGTAAACAGACCAAACACGAAAGCCGCAGTAAACTTTTCTAATTGAGGGCTTGCATTCTTGCTCCTTAATTCTCGTGGCTGCTTGTTTACGCCACATGCCCAGCCTTTCGGTTCTTCGTGCCGATCAACTCGTCAACCGCAGGTCGCTCGAAAAGAACTTGGCCGTCCTTGCGGAGGAAGCACTTGCGACACTATCGTCATGATGTCTTGATCTCTAAGCTTCGAACCGCCATCACGCATGGGACCTGAGCAGAAGTGCCGCCCGCCGCCCGTTACAAAGCCTACTTGTCTTTACGAGTACATGACATATATGGTCGTCACGTCTCAGAACTCGGGATAGAATTGAGAGACTGAAACGTGCCCTGAGAAGCCGATGAGTAGCGGGTCGTTCCAAGGGTTCTCCACTCACTCGAACTCGATACTAGTCTGTATCCTAGTTTGGCGACAACTGCTTCTGGTTTACTAAGTTTATCATCATAGAGGTAAGAAGTCCGAATAAACTCCAAATCAAACTTGGATCATGTATCTCATCCTCTCCCTCGAAAAGCCTGCATACTTTTGATGACCTTGTTTCGAGTTTATCAAAGACTAGGTTTGCCAGTTAGTATACGACGCAGAAGATTTGTCTCTCCTTTCCTATAACGATGATCCAAGACCGCGATGATGAAAAACTTGGCAATTCTCGCCGTCATTACAGTCCTCGGAAACCCAGATATCATACGAGCCACGAAGGCTCGCCCAGTCGAAGGTAGATAGCCGTGATTCCAGCCAGTCATTTGAGCTGCTTGGTCCATCGTAGAACCTGTTATAGTCCTGATATTGCACAAGACTGCGGCATATAATGAGACTCATTTTCGGCAAGGAGTTTTGGACATCGGTTTCTATTGCCCGAATGGGCTTGATCGGGATCAGTCACGGACCCAAACAACCGCATCGTGGAAATGCCACGGCCGAAACCCCCGGTCCGAGCGGTCCGGATCAGAAGATAATCCAGAAACTCAGCGGCCGGACAGTCGCATCCCCGGCGCATGTCCTACAGATGGGTCCAACTGCACGTCTTCTCACTTGGAGACGTCCCCTCGCGTGCTCCAATTTCATAAGCGTTGTTTGCTTGTTTGTCAGAGGCTACCTCAGGGGAGAGAGCTCCCCCAGTACGAGGTGGACGCGCCATGGAAAATCAGAGAGGCAAACAAAAGGCGCGCTTGTGACGGGACAAGCGACGAAGCGTCCAGCTTCCAAGCCGCGCAAGTTGGCCATCACTCTAAGCCGCAAAGCCGCAACACCGAGCATGGCACGTAGGATCTCAAGAGAAAATGCTACACAGCCTCGTCTCGCCCAGTTGCGACAGGCGATAACCAAAGAGACGGATCCCGTCCCGTCACCCAAGTCGGGCCACGTGCGACTTGGTTACCCGAACAGCTGGCAGGTCTCGTTCCTCTGCGTCGCCAAGTGCAGCAATCTTCGAGGCCAAGACTTGATCGTAGGAACAGAGAGATTCCAGGCTCTTCTCGCTTTCAGCTTTGAGAGAACGGTGGCCTTCACCGCTAGAAAAGAAGGGGGCTGAGTGGTTTGGTCAAGACAGTCTAGAGGTCCCGCCAAGGACTCGGCAGGAGCAATGAAAAATGACGCCCAGGTTGCCGAGGCACAAGTCAAGATTGCACTGAGCTCAATGCCAACACACACGCCAAGCCTATGCCAAGAAATATTACCAAAAACACGTGGAACAGCAGTTGGGACGACGATGAACAAAAAGGAAAAAATTCTATTCACTCAACCTGACAAGACACCTAGAAAAACAATTGTGACCTCTCTACGGTCCAGTCATGAAGCAGAAACAGCTGCTACCAGTGAGGATCCAACGCCGCTTGTGATGGTGTCAAACACAAAAGAGCCTCATGCCAATAATATGATAAATCCTGCCGAGTCGTGACTGAATTAAAGCAGGCACCGCGGTGCCTCATTGTATATCCTACACGATCGCATAAATGTATATTGCCCCAGCTCCCCAGCACTCTTGATTCCCGTTCTCAGTTTTTCATTCAATGAGTGACCATTTGTTTACAAGGCAACCATGGCAGCACCAATGGCACCAGCGGCAACCAGGTAGGCACCGACGGCGAAACCGGCAAAGTTGAACATGGGCTGGTAAGGGCTGCCGGCGGCAGCATTGCCAGAAGCGCTGGAGCCGCCGCTGCCGGTGGAAGAAACGGGAGCGGTGGCAGTGGCGGCGGCGCTGTTGGCGGCGGAGGCAGAGGCGAGAGCAGCCTTGCAGGAACTGTCGCTAGCGGGGGTGACAACCTGGGCCTGGCCGTTGAAGTCGCAAGCGGTGCTGGCAGATTTCTGGGCCTTGTAGTAGGTGTCCAGGACAAAAGCAAGCTTCTGCTCGTCGTTGCACATAGAGTAGGCGCCGTAGACACCGGTGGTGGTGTTGGTGTTGATGCCGTTGCAGGACTTGGGGTCGGCACCGCAGATGTAGCCAAAGATATCACCAATGGCATCAGCCGTGATGCCGGACTTGGGGGTGCAAGAAAGGCTCTTGACCATGCAATCGCAGAGGGAGCTGTCAGGGGTAGGGGGGAGAGCATCGCCGTTAACCTCCCAGGTGGAAGCGACAGGGGGGCACTCAGCAGGCTTGTTAGTGGGCTGGTAAGAGTTCATCTCGACGGCGGCGGGGGTGGCGGCCAGGACGCGGGAGGCAAGCACGTCGTAGTTCTTCATGGTGGTGGCCTTGCCGTTCGTGACCTGGACGAGACCATAGTCGTTGGCTTCCTCGAAGTACATGTAGACGATACCGCCGGAGAAGACGTCGGTCATCGGCGTCTCATACAGCGCAGTGGTCTCCTCGAAGAGACGGCCATTGGCGCCGTCGGGGATGTTGCAGCCGTACTCGGCGAAGAAGACGGGGACAGAGAAGTTCTTGAAGAAGTCAAGCTGGGTAAGGTAACCGGAGCCAGCCAGGGTGTTTTTACCGCACCACGAGTAGATGTTGTAGCCCCAGAAGTCAATAGCAGTACCCTGGTCACCGCAGTTGAAGTAGTGAGCCGAGTTATCGCGGATATCGGCGTCATCATTGGCGGCGTAGCCAACACCCATCCAGCGGTAGCCCTTATCCTTGATGTACTTCTTGGTGTCACGGACAGCAGCCTTGACGAAAGCAGAGGCCTCGGTGTTGGACTTGTTGTTGGACACCTCGTTACCGGCGAAGAAACCAATGGTGTTGTCGTACTTGGCGAGTGCATCGACGACTGCCTGGTAGCGCTGGAAGAGTTCGACATTCCACTGGGCGTTGTCACGGTTGATGGAGAGCTTGGGCTCGCCCAGGTCGGAGACGACGTAAATGCCGTTGTCGCTGAGAAGCTTCATGCAGGCATCGTGGTTTTGGGTGGGGTCAATGGCGTAGGTACGGATGACGTTGGTGCCAGCCTTGGCCATGATGGGGACGTCGCGCGTGCAGCCGGCCTCATCGGCGAGGGGGTCCTTGTACTCGCCAGTCTTGGACTCACCGCCGGCGGCGGCAGTATCCTGCTGGTAGGCGATACCCTTCATGTAGAACTGGGTGCCGTTCTCGTAGAAGAACTTGCTGCCCTGCAGATGTTGTTAATGACATGTTACCGGGTAGGTAAGCCTCTCGAAAGGGAGGGTTGATGGATGGCGCACCTTCATGACGATGGGGTCGAGGGCAGCGGCCTTGCTGGCGAGCAGCAGAGCCGCCGAGAAGACGGTGGCGACCTTGCCCATTTTGTTGTTACTGGAGCTATGAATAAAATTGGTGCTTGGTAGATATTCGTCGGTGGGAGTCGAGGTTGCTATCGTCTCCAAGGAGTCGAGCTCGAGTGCGGAATGTTCCGATAAATGAGTCTTCCCTTCTCTTCTTTCCTATATGACGAAGAATCGATCCAAACGGTAGGTAAAAAACGGGTTGATAACGAGAGCGCGAAGTGGTTTGAGTTGCTGGTAGGTGATTAAAAGCAGAGGGTGTTGTTGACCAAAAGACAAGTGACACAACAATCACAAAAAAAATAAAAGATGAAGATGTCGATGTCTGAGATAAAGTCCCCTAAAGGATAAAGAAGAAACGATTGCGGATAGCAAGTGAGGGAGTGGACGGGTTTGGAGGAAACACGGAGGAGAAAAAAGGAGGAAGGGTCGGGAAGTAGGAGGCTGTGACGGAGGGATACGCGAGCTAGAAAAGCAGAAACACGCCCTGGAATGGGTGGACTAGCGACGGGTGGGCCTGGACCAGGGAACACGGGCAAGTGCGACGATACAAAGGTACCCTGTACATGTGCTCTTAGGGGAGCCACAGAAGGGCAAGAGAAAGAGATGAGGAACGGCGGCGACCTACGGATAGGCGGCAAAGGAAGGAAGGCAGGGCAGCAGGCACAGTCGAGACATGCAGCAGCAATTACGGAGTACTCTCCATGGCCAATTCCATACAAGTCCAACGGTGCAGAAGAGAAGGAAGGAACAGTACCTACCGGTACCTACCTACGGGAGGAACAGGTACGTACAGTAAGTAACATCGACCATGAAATTTGAATGGAAGGAAGGCAGGCCAGGGGCCATGGATTGCTGATCAGGGGTTGGGTGCAAGCTGCTCCACAGGAAAAGGCTTGGTGGGAAGGAGGGGTAGGGGTGACCCCTTTCCTCGCAGAATTCATCATTTCCAGCACAGCAAGCTTGCATTTTGCTTGGGAGCCCTTCCATCCGATTCGAGTCGCCGCCGTCGAGTATTGGAAGGGGGGCAAATTGCCCATTCAATACGGAGTACGGATACGCAGTATTGCCTATTGTACCAAGCGAACGCGGGCCTCTCTTTCTCTCTCTCTCTCTCTCTCTTTCTCTCTCTCTCTCTCTCTCTGTCTCTCTCTCTCGCCAGCACCTGCATCCCTGCATCTGCATTGGGTCATTAGTGCCGTCCATTAGGGGCTTACTATTTATTTAGTGCATTCGGGTCCCGGCAATGCATTGGCGGCCGTTGGTGGATGATTGGAACATGACAGTCGGCGCGAAGTTGAGGCCCAGCTGTCTTAGCACGCTTCCTCTCCGGCTACCTCATCTCCCGTTGCGTCTTTTATCTCTACTCTTGCTATACTAGACGAGTGAACGAGGACGACAGCGAGGGCAACAAACACAAGACGAGACGAGACGAGACGAGACGAGCCGGTACCAGAGATTAGACGTAACGATATCTGGAGCCACTGCGCTACACCACTTCGGCTGACCAAAAGGTACAGAGACTGTCCGCGCATCGCATCGCATCGCATCGCATCGTACCGCCCCGCACCGCACCGCACCGCATCTCATCAACCAGTTGCTGTACTCCTGGCCAGCAGCTCAAACAAGCGACTTCTTTACCGTCTGCTTTGCGAGTACATATTAGCCTCCTGCACGTACTCTCAGGTTGTAGCGGCAATAATAGTACGGGCTAGTATCCGTAGTGTAGTAATAGTAGGTAGGCAAGTGACAATGCCAGACGTGCCGCCCTCCAGGAGCAGTCTCGGCATGTTCATCTCGTTTCAAGGTCGTATGAGAGACTTCGGTACGTACCTGGGCACCTCCCGTACCTACCTAGGTAGTTTACACTACAGTGTATGTGAAAGTGCGAGGGTCTCTGCCCCATCCCCTTCTTCTTTGGAGACGCTGTTACTTCTCCAACGAAAGGATAGGTATCTGAAGCAGGAAGCCTGCTATCGTTCTATCCTCTCTCTCTATATCGACTCCTTCGTACTCCTCTCCAACAGCAACACGAGCGGCTACTCTATGCCGACGCTACCACCACCAACACGGCCCGTCGGCCGCCACACTGTGCATCATCAAGCACAGCACACACAGTGCTCGCCGCGCTCCATCCACCAAGGCCGTTAGTGCCATGGCGAGAAATAGGGGCAATCTCCACTCCACGTCAGCTTGCTTCGGCCTGGAGAAAGCGGCTGACTTTCCCAGACCGGGACTTGCGGACGCCGGCCCTCGTCTTGTTTCTCTCCCCTCTCCATCCCCAGTTGGGCCCAGTTGGGGCGATCCATTCGCTCTCGAGCCAGCGGTGATCACTAACGATGGGAAAGCACTCCTGCCCGAGGGTCGCACAATCGAGACCATGCTGATGGTTGGGGTTCACGAGGCAAGCCGAGGGAGTTCAGACTTGTTGTTTGGAGGCGTGAGCTCATACCATGCTTAAACTACCTACCTACCCAGCTAACACTCGGCACAGTATATCCGTAAGGCTTTTGGATAAAGACACAATCGCCAACCGACGCAATCTACTTACACTAGGGAGACGATCAAAGACGAACCGGCTTGCCAAGAGATCAATTACCTCTCAGCATTGGCATTTCTTGTCGGCCTGCGCCTGCGCCTGGAATCCTCGCCATGGCAATTACACTAGGTACAACAACCGCTGTCAACGCCCGCCGAGCGTGTCCCAAAGGTCGGCCTTTGTGACACCAACACCACCTACTCTGCCCAGCCGCCGCCCAGCGCGTCTTTCCTCGATCTGGCGTTTAGGCCTGCCGCCGCTATCTTCCCAGTCCATCCCAAGAACCTTGAAGTTCGAAGACAAAAGATGAACACGAAGCAGGTTTCTCAATGGTGCTTAATCTCGATACTTCCTTGTAACCATTGTTATTACAATCAACATGCCGCGCTCACTCTTCTCCACCACCCTATGTGCTCTTCCGGCGAAAGCCACATCCAATGGCACCGTCTGCCCCGGTTGACGATTGCACTAGCTGCATACGGGGTCTGCGGTCTAGACCTCACAGCCACCATCGTCCATCAGGCTGTTGGCCAATCATCCCCCAATTTCCAACCTTCAGCGGCTCCTCCGGGGGGCCATCCACCAAGTCTCTCGCACACTGTCAACCACGCCGCCGGCCCGACGTCTCTGGCGCGTTCTTTGTGGGTGGTTGATGACGACTGCAACAACGTCCTTTACTGTGTGCATTCCTCGTATTCAGTGCTTGCATGCCTGCTCTGTTTGCCGCGACAACCGAATTATGCCTCTGAGAGCCTGGCAGCCGAACGTTCGTGTTATGTCTGTTGGGATGCTTGGGTTGTCGATGCAGCAGCTGAACAACCAGAATTCCGACGCACACATACTCACACTCACTCACTCACACGCACATGTACAGAGTACATATACATGCATACATGTACAAACACAACAGAGTGAACCGCCATCATCATGACGCCCGGCTTGCCGATGTTCCGATGTACTGTGTTTGAACCATCACCATCCATGCTTGCCATCCAGAAGCTGGCCGAAATGGTCCCACGGACGGCCGAGGCCCACCAAAAGGCCAACCAAAAGACAAACAAGGAAGAACGAAAATCGAAAATAGGTCAGGACTGGTGGGCGGGAGTCAATAAACTGTCTTTCGACTCCTAGGATCATGCTTCAAACCGACCCCCCGGTGACCCCCTTCCTCTCCCTTCTCGCCGGTCGTCTCCCTCACGTCACTCATTCGTGGCCCACGAATTGACGACACCCAGAACCCACAAATTTCTTTTGTTTTTTGTTTTATTTTGGCCGCCAGCTGCCAAGCTCGTCCTGGAGTCAGTCATCTTTATGCGAGAGCACTTTCGGCGCAAATATTCACACAAGTCCGTGTAGCGTGCGTGCCTTGCTGCCCGGTAATGGATTTGTGGTTTATTGCGGACTGCTCGACATTGTTTCATCTGCTCGCGGCTGTCTTCTTCTTCCCAAGGCTTCTCGCCATTAAACAAAATACACACACTATGGGAAATGGTATGGTGTCGATACTACAACGCTGCCGACGATTAACGACGCACGTACGGTACAGTCTCTAGATGATTCTCTCCTCTCTCACATTCCCCCCATGGGTACCCTGTGTTTTACGCTGCGGCTGTCACCAGTTCTGTTTACTCGCATTGTTGGCAAAAGACCCAGGGAAGAAAGAAGTACATTGTCTGTTGTCACGCTCGTTTCCCCTCCCATCCAAGCAAGCGACCGTTCATTTGCCCTACAAGTAAGCAGGCTGATCCCATCGCGTTGCCGTCTCGCGGCCACACCGCCAGGGCCCCGAAACCGCTGAACCCCTTCCTAACTCCGCCCCCGGTGGGTGACAGGATCCCCTTCCTTTTAGGACCGTGTCAAGTTGATGGAGAACCACCTCCTCCGGAAGCCGCAGACGACCTGGCTTGCCCTGTTGTTGATCGAGATTTCCCGACCAACGTCATCAGTGGATAAACTACCGTCGATGCCAATCTTCGCGTCCGTCCAAACGGGATATTCCCATCGCGCCTGCTGTGGTTCGCAATGCTGATCTCGAAAGGCTTGACATGCTTGATTCCCCCGCCCGCGTATCGTCCGTGTTCAAGGCGTGTGTCATGTCGCTCCGTCCGTGTGCCCTTGTCATCTTTGACGTTTCTCTCTGTCTGCCCCTCGCATCGGCATACCTCCTCGGCCTGGTGGACCGTAGCAGCGCCACTGGAACCGGCCTCTGGAACCGGGCCTCTGGAGGCGTTGATCACCATTTGCCCGTGATTTTGGAATAGGCCTTGCCCACGCCGTAGCAGACGCCATCCCAGACTTCGTACGTCTCGCGCCAGACTGTGCGGAGCGGTTTGCATCCCGAAGACGACATGCGGGTCTGTCGGCTGTCGCGCTGGTACCGATTAATGGTCGACATCCTCCTTTCTCGTCTTTGGGACTGTCGAACACTCTGGGGTTGGGTTGACATTTTATTTTATTTTTTAATTTATTTTTGCCTTGTAACTTCTCTCAGGGTTGTTTCTTTTCTGGCTAGAGGTAAAAGTCTAGACGACAATGGCTCTCCGACGTATTAAGCATCAATTGCGAGGACAGAAGAAGAAAAAGACGGCTGGTATTCGTGATTAAATAGGTCTGGGTACGCTTGGCCTCTTCTGTAGCGGCACACGACTGTCCTTTTTCATACTGTCGTCACCAGGTCATAGCGATAGTTCGCAGCCCCGATGATGCTTTTGCTTTGCCTTTCCCGTGCCCTGCGTCGCCGCCGCCGCCGTCGCCCGCCTCGTCACCCGGGTGCGGCCGTCACGAGCCCACTCCGCCGCCGCAGCACACCACCAAAAAGCCCAACGAGACGCCTGACAGCCGTTCCACCATCGGTAGCGCAGAATGACAACACCGCGCCATGGACCGTCGCCGGCCACTAAGACAGAGAGAGTCACACACGCCGACAGGGCGCAGGCGCATCGTGATAGGCAGCCGGCCCGTGCGGCGCGCCGATCGAATGCCCTCCACGGACATCGCATCTGCCCAGGGGTTGGGACGAGTTTTGCGGAGGCGGTCACATCTTGAGGGTGTATGTGATGGATGAGTTCCTGGCGTGGCGCCGCCGTCACGCGCACCCTCGCGCTTGGATACATTATCACTCGCTCGTCGTTTCTCCAGGCAGAAGCACACTGGCCGAGTGCCTGGTGTGTCTTCTCCCAGCCGTGGTCATCACCACCTCCCTCCCGTCTGTGTTTCCGTCGCCATCTCGGGTACCCTCTGTTTTGGCAAATAGGCGGGTGTTTGTCACCACGGACTTTGGGATTATGCAAAACTCTTAATGAGTGAATACGGGTCGTGAATGACATTCCTAGGGAGCTAGCTACTCAGAGACAGTTTGCCCACCATCTTGCCGCCACTGGCCTTGTCTATGGATATATTTAAAGGTGTCGTGACGTATCCCGCAAAGCTTCAATGCCCTTGGCTACTTTTTAGTATCCCATCCCTTTTTCGTATCTGCATGTGTTATTTCCGTCATTGCATTCCTCGAGTAAGGTCTTGGTCGTTTCTTCTTTGGTTGTCCACTCGTACGACTCATACATATCCTTTATCAAGCCCTCGGGCATATGACCCTCTTTAAGGGTGTTGATTCTTCAGGTATACGGTGTGTTCTCGTTGTCGCCGTGCGGTGGGATTCCGTTCGAGTTCTTTGCAAGCGTGTAGTGTGTATGTATGTATAGCAAATTTCGGTTCGTCTATTCCAATCGAGGAGTTAGCATCGATGCCACATCACGGACGGAAGACAAGACCCAGGGATGGCTTACCGGAGCTAGTTCGGAGCAAAGTACATTCATCATGTTGATTTTAGCTGACGGTTGTGTCGGAGTACCTTCCCAGCGTAATGCCTACTCAAGGCGAATTCTTTTGGCGTCTGTCTCGACGTCAGCTACGGTCACGCGAAGTCCAGAAACAAGGCAGGGAACTTGCCTCGCTCGCCCTGGTCACAGACCCGAATGAAGACCTCAACACATCCAGCCGTTACGGATACGGTCGGTCTCTGAGACTGCTCCTGCAGCCCCAACGACTTGGTTGCCTGGTGGGAAGGCGCGCTGTCGTAGACCGTCACGATGGGAGACAATCCCATCCGACGGCGCGGTTTGTACGACCTTTTGGTTGGGGTAGGCGGGGGGCTCAGAGGCCCTTGAACCACCTCCGTCACGTCAAGCTGTTTCTGGAGGAAGACGTCGTGGTGTTCCTTGAAGATGTCGGAGGTCACGTATTCGCACTTGGGTGAGGCTTCTTGGTGTTGATGGTAGGGATCGTCTTTGGTCTCCCACTTCCAAGCCTGAAGCTTGCAAAAGCAACAAATGACGTTGTCGCCGGGCTTTGCCTGACTGCCCTGGAGTCGGAAGCCGGCGCCCGCCATGTCCTCGGGCGATAGAGCCGGGTGAGGCCAGCGGCCAGGCTTGCCGTCTGTGCCTCGCTCGAAGAAGGAGAGGAGGCGCACGCAGAAATCGTCCATTTTCTTGGGTATTGCGGTGGTAAAGTATAGCTGACGATACTGTGTAGAAAACCGAAGTTTGAGATGAGCGAGGGGGAAAGGACTGTATACAACAGCAAAGATGCTGAAGCGAGGATGATACCTGGGCGATTGGGGTCGTGTAGTCGAGCGAAAGTTGTGGTGAAAGGTAATTTTAGAGAGAGAGAGAAGTGAAGAATATGAGCAATGGTTTATCAATACAGAAAAAATAGGATCCTTTTCAAAAACTGGAGGGAAGGAGCGGTCGCAGGATCCTTTTCAAAACTGTAAGGAAGGAGTGGGCTGTTCCTGCTTGCTATAAAATACATGAGTTCAATTTGGTGGCCGAGAGCCAATACCATTATGTCCGATCGTAATGACGAGTCTGGTAAAGGGATTTTAAAGCAAAAATTATTCAGCTAATGACTGCTGAAAACATATGGACGTGCTTGTCCAAGCACTTAAGAGTGAGTTTGCTTTGGTATGAAGAGTCCTTGCAGCAGGCTTGATATGACGCTCAAGGCTGAGACCTGTTCGGAGTTCGTGCCATGCATGCCCTGGCTTAGATCAGGAGGCTTTTGATGAATTAGAGGCTGCTTTGAGGCTATTAGAACTGCGAGTTGGGTGACCTTGAGCCCCCGCGATGCCATGCTTATTAAAACACTCGATGCCAACCATTGACGTCTTGGACTTCGCACATTTCCTTGATTATGACAATTTGCTGAATAAAGTCCTCTATTGGCAGCGTTGTGCAATGCCAGTTTTGTACTAGAAATGTTTGAATACCCAAACTACGGCATACTTGATACCGGGTTGACGAATCTCAACCCTCTGCACCCATACTCGCGCCAAAAACATCAGCTAATGCCTCATATGAGTGCTTCTTGTACTCGGTCCAGTACTCGATTGCCGCCAGACCTGTGACGATGACCATGTCCATGTCGATACTCTGCGGCGGCACAAACACCTCAAATGTCGGCGCCGACCCGCTCATCATGCCATCGGGGTGCTTCTTCCACCTCGCCAGCAAGTTGCCTCCAGCGTCCTTGAAGTACAATGCGCTCATGGTCAAACTCAAATTCGAGACGCTCCAGCTGTAAGTCCGGCCGTGGTGCTCGAAGCTGTGGGCGCTGCCCAGTGTGTTGGTCTTCATCTTGAACGGCACCCCACGGAGGACGACGTCGATCTTTGACGAGATGGAGTGGTACTTGGCCGTCCCCAGCGCCTCGCCCGACGCTTGCGCGCGAGGGTCTGCGCGCACTACAGAGACCGTCCTGTTATCCTTGTTGCCGTGGAGGACGTAGAAGGGGATGGCGTGGCCGGTCGCGAGGTCGACGCGGTCTACCGTCGTTTGTGCGCCACCGAGGCGCTCAACCACCCGGAGCACCTCGCAGGGCATGCTGCTAGGTGCTGGTGTTGAGCCGAAGCCGCTGCCCATCATTGTGTATGATTCCTGATTGTGTTGGTCGATGCGTTTGTTAATGAGTGGAAACAGCTCGTACATGATCAAAACGGTTCGCCCGGCGCACGGCATCGGGCTTATTATATGTCATGTGAAGACGTTGTTTCACTCGCTGATTGTGCTGATTTTACTTTGATGCAGGCCACCTTATGTTTTGCTAGTCCGAGGAGCTGACGTCTGACTGCATTTAGATAGAGTGAAACTATATACACCGTTTGCCCAGGCTTGGGAAAGCTGCATATGGGAGGCCCTCGGCCTTGAATCTCAGAGGAGGTGCTGGGAGCTGATTGGGGATTCTGGAATACCTCCTACTTCCAGATTCGGTAGGTCGATATGCAGTGCTGTGATTTGACCATGCTGACTCCCGGACCTGTACCTAGCCCGGTAGAGCTCAGCAAGCAGGGCGCAGTGGCTTCATTAATACGTTGCAGCAGCTGCCATCCAGCCTCTTGTATGAATATGTACTTCTTGGCGTTGAGACAAAGCAGTTGGTCTGCTGACCCTGGAGAGTGATCGCAAACCTCGAAATGACGTAATCGTGGGTTATATTGCTGTATGATCCAACGAGTGAAAAGTACGGCGGAAGATAATGCCAACAGGGGGACATGACTTTAAATACATAGCAAGGTCTTGCAGCTCTGCCTGACTCGGGTCACATTCTGCCACGACTCCCGGCTCATGTATTCCAACAACGCATACGATGCATCACTGCAGTGGTTGAGAGCCGCGAACGACTCAAGATGTTACTGTAGGCCCCTCTCGTAGGCGCTTGCGGGGTGGCCCGCAGTCAGATAGTTGGAGCATATACCCAAATAGGAACATTACCCAGCAGACTACCTAGGTACGTTAGCGTCATGCACCAGCCTGTCGCGCGGAGACACCACTCCCGCCACCTATGCCTATGTGGCTCAATTTAAAGGTGATACGATCCCATGTTCATCCGCATGAACCTCAACATCAAACCTAATCCCTAAAATCAACGGTCTCTGCACTTCCTCGAAGCTAATAACAGTCGCCGCCATGGTACCGCCGGTCCGTACAAAGAAGAACGAAAATGCGATCGCGCACGCGAGGACGCTGGATCGAGTGCCCTGGTGCGAAGACTACGAAAAGATGATCTCGGGCATGCTTTACAGCTGCATGGCGCCCGAGTTGGTCGAGTCAAGGAACCGTGCCAGACGCCTGGCCCAGAGGTTCAACACCTACGTTCCGGAAGAGACCGCGTCCGCCGATGATGTTGCCAACATCAGGGTGGGCATGATCAAGGAGCTGTTCGGCAAGGTTGGGGAGGACGTCTACATTGAGCCCAGTCTACAGGTGGATTATGGCTGCAACATCACCGTCGGAGACCGGTTCTACGCCAACTTCAAGTATGTCCCTCCAATTACTTTTGAACTCCTTGTGCTCTGCGCGACGTCTCTCGGGTCTTCTCATACATGGTGATCGACATCCTGACAAGCACACCCTCAAGCTGCGTCATCCTCGACTGCGCCCATGTCGCCATTGGCGACAGAGTCTTGTTTGCGACGGGGGTGAGCCTCATCACGGCAACTCACGAGACGGGCTTGCAGTCAAGGAGAGACAATATCGAGTACGCGGAACCGATCACCATTGGGGACGACTGCTGGCTCGGAGCAAACGTCACGGTTCTGCCTGGAGTCAAGATAGGCAAGGGTTGCACGATCGGCGCGGGAGCTGTCGTAAGCAAAGACATTCCGGATTACTCGGTTGCAGTGGGCGTTCCGGCCAAGGTCATCAAGAAGGTAGACCCCGTGGATTAGGCGGCCGTGTGGCGACACAGAACAATATACAGACACTATACCAGATATCCGAGAAGTCGTGCCATCTGCCAAACGATGGCATAAAGTTGCCCTCCATGCTCATTTGGAGCTGGAAAGAATTCTGGGCGTTTCTCAGTGAAGCCATACAAGACACATCTCAGACAGCCGGTGCTTTCTGGTTATTTTGTATGCCTGAATAATTGATATGTGCACCCAGCTATGCTCGATCCGAGCGACTTATACGAAGGCAATGAGATTTCCCTCTTACTTGCAATGTAACCCCCCCCCCCCCCCCCTTTATTTTTTTTGTATTCTCTCTATATTCTCTACCCGGATGCGTTCCATGAGGCGGCCAAAGCATTATTTGATGTATAACAGTTGGCGGTGGCTAAGTTCTACATGGGTATCATGACGAGAGACGGCATTGGCTTTGTCTAAACACAATTGTGCGAAGTGGAAAATAGGTTAAAGCCAGATAGTTTCATTCGGTAACGGTCTATATGCTGAAATACAGTAGAAAAGAACGCAGCAGAGAATACCACTAATTACAAGAGGTTACATGAGCAAATCACGATTTAATAGGTCAACATCAAACTCCCAATTCAACACCTAGCACACCGACTGGTATGGTGACTGGGTCAAGTACTGTTGTACGAGGCCGGGTTGGTACACCGTTTAAGAGGAGCAGAAGCTCCAGCTGCTCTCGACACCCCAGTTAATGCCACCGCTGTTACCGGGCTGGTAGGTAGCACCTGAGGGGGCGTATTGCTGAGTGAAGAGGTTGCAGTAAGTGCCCTGTGGGATGCCGTTCTCCTTGACCATGAACGCGTTGAAGAAGTTGCACTTCAAAGGGCTGTAGCCGAACCAGCTGGCAAAAGATGCCAAGCCGAGGGACTTGGAGTTTTTGGCATTCTGGGCGGCGGCATAAGCGGCGCAGACATTGACATCGTACGGGCCCGGGAAGAACTTCTGACCAAGGCAAGTAGAGGGGTGGCTGTGGATGTTACCGCCGCAGTTCTGGGGCTTGGTCCAGCCAGAGGGGGTCGTCGGGGTAGTGTTGTTCGTCTTCTCGTATCCGTTGGAGCCGGCAATAACCACTTGGAATCCATCTCTCGACTGGCCGAAGTTGGTCGCAGCCGCCTGGTCGACACCGGAGCCCCAGAGAGTGCACTTGTAGTTGGTGATCGATGACGGGTTGGTGCAAGAACACTGGTCAGGGTTGATGGACGGGTCGCGCTCGATGTAGATGTTGATTCCGGTGCACAGGTTGGTGCTGTCGCAGAAGCTAGCACACTGGGCGACATCGTAACTCTGAAGAGTGTGGAGGCCGAGATAGGTGTTGGCATTCACGGAGGCGTTGAGATCCTTGAAAGTCGAAGCATACCCAGACGGTGCCACCGCACCCAAGGCATCCTGGTGGAACGCCGGGTATGCTTCAAACGCCGCAACGGTGTCCGGCTGAACCTGTGGGCCGCTTCCTGTTGTTCTTGATTAATAACATATCAAAGGCAGCTCATCAGGTCTTAAACTCACCAGAAGGCTGGGGGGCACAAGGGTCTTCCGGGTTGATAAACCCGCAGTAGGTACCAACTTCAAACGGAGCAGCGCAGCCCGTCGCGGTAGTAAACGCATTGGTGTTGGTCCAGCTGATTGGCGTACAAGTCGAGGGAGGTAAGGTGATGGAGGCAGGAGTCGTGATCACAGGAGCGGCAGAAGTTGTAGTTACGACGGCTACCTTTGTCGGTGATGTCGAGGTGGGTGCAGGCCAACCATATTGCCCCTGATTATTGGAGCTCGAAGTTGGAGTTCCAAAGCAGAACCCCCAGAAGCAGAAGCCTCGCCGGCTCGGGCCAGCCGGCATGGAGGCGGCCTTCGCTGAGGCCACAGCAGTGGCCGCAGAGGAGGCGATCGCAGCAGCAGTAGACGGGTTGTAGACAGTTGTCTGAGCCGTAGCAGTGACAGGAGGGCCGGTCAAGGAGGGCGAGGTCGCAGCTACAACGAGGCCGGGGTTGAAAGCGGCATCGCCAGCTTGGGTACCCGGCGAATCGGCTCCAAGAGGCGAAGCGGTTCCAAGACCCGCGAGGGCGACGAGAGCCAACGAATAGATCATGGTGAAGATTTGGATTACAACGACTGTTGGACAAGTGATTTGAAGAAGTTGCAGTAGAGAGCGTGCTGTCAAAGGATTGCTGTATGCTGAGAGAGAAGAGACTGAGGCTGCTGAGAGAGAAGAGACTGAGACTGCTGAGATGAAGTGAAGAACATATCGAGACAGGCAGGGTAGGTGACGGTTTAAATATCAAAATATCAACAGTCGAGATTGCTATTCAATGTTCCAAGTCTACACGATGCGACTGCGTTTGGCCACACGAACCGGCATCTAAGAGCCGAGGAGCGCCTCCCATCGTTCTGAGCGCTCCGAAGTGGTGGTCTACCTATCGTTAGCTCGGTTTTCCAGAGGCCAAAGCTCTTAGTGTACGGTGAGCCCGTAATATTGCACCCATTCACGACAGGTCCCTGGGAGCTGTCAACAACAACTTGGGCCAACATCGTACTATCCACAGCAGCCCCTCTTTGTTGATGTGACAGCGGGTAACATTAACGTAGATTTCAAATTCGAGATCACTGCACAAAGGATTTTTTGAAAGGAAAAATCGACCTTTTCGCGGCGTCCAAGACTAGCAAGTTCCTTTGTCAGCTAACCCTGGTTTTGTCGGTAGATTTATGGTAGGATCGCAGGCGATGTTCCTGGCTTTGTCTCACCCAATCTGGCAGACGCTAGAACGGATGAGTCGGGATCTGCGACTTCGCTTCGAACCCGCTTCCCGTATAATATAGTAAGGAATGGCGTCCTGAATGGAAGGCTAGATCGCTTCGACAGGCTAGCTCCCCAAAGCGTGACACAAGTCAGGCACACCGGAACTTGTGACTTGTGACGAGCTGGGGGGAGGCCAAGAGTGACAAAGAGAGAAAGCTCTTGGCTCCCGAGAGTTGAGAACGTCCCCGGCTTGGCAGTGATCTGCAACATTTAACCTTCTTTAACTACTCCAGTAGAGGCAATTCATCATCTGAACCACGCGGAAGAAGCATAAAAGTACCGATAATTTATATACTTTACGTTGCTTGAATTCCCATATACAACTGGACGCGGAACAGAGCCTACCTATGTTGCATAACAGCAAACCGACGAGATGAAGACCATCGACACTGTCGAAGCAGACATTCAAGTACCTGCCGCCACCTGTAAAGCCACCCAGCGTTGTTACGGCGACGGCCGCGCGTCAGAAGTTATACCGGAAAGGTCACCATTTCGCGTGTTCTTTATCAACAATCCCCTGAGAATACCTAACCGGAGTTGGCTTAGATACGTGGTATCCAGTGAGTCTGCGGCACTTTGACGCTTTCTTTATCGCTATCAGACTATCAGCAGCCCCCTGGATGCTAACTGTAGTTGGTTTAAGCGGGGAGCAAGGCCAGCCACGTAGGATAAAGCGTTCGTATTCCTAAAGCTATGCATGCCGCTATTAAGAATTAGCGTCAATGCAATCATTATTCATTCAAGGCCTCCCCGCTCCACAAAGAAAACAACAGATGATTGTCTACGTCCAAGAATGCTAGCTTTAGCTTCGGCTTTGTTTTCGAGGGCAACGGCCCTGACAGCCAGCAATATAGTGAGGGCAAGATATAGATGCGCACTCCGAGCTCTTCGTCTTCAGTGTTGGATTTTAGAAAACCGCCCGAGGAAATCTTGGAGGGACTTGAGTGGGATAACAACCTCATACCCTTCACACAAAATCGAATGCTGAATATCACCAACGTCAACAATGTCATCGCTTTGCAATTCTATAAGAGTGCAGAATTAATCTTCTTCAGTATTAATACGACTATTCAACAGATGCAAACTTGCGCAGCATGCTTCGTAGTCCAAGCCAACCTTTCGCGATAAACAGGAAGCTATTCACAGTCGTTACGACCGGCATGGGTTGTCTAAACTTTAGCCTAGCTGAAGAAATGTTATGAGAATTCCATAAGTTGGCTCACTGGATTCAGCATGATACAGGTAGACCGTAATTGCTGTATGGCGCAATGGTATTTATATCGTGGTTTCATTGCGGCGCATTCCCATCTTCGTGGCTCAAGGGGATGCTTAGTTCAACAGAAGTCGTCCTAATAACATCCAGGGAATTGGAAGTTGAACCTTTGGATGCCCTGGTCTGCGATTACTTCAATTCAGTCACAGTGGAAGTTGGGATAAGGCGGATGGCTCACTCAAGTCGATGGAAAGAGACGAAAGACGCTGGGTTTCGAGCGAGCATTGAGGTACTTATCCAAGGCGGTCCCTTTTAAGGTCGCACAGGTGCACAACGGTAAACTTAACACAATTACAAAAACAAAGTATAAGTATCGTGTCCAACACGCAACGCGACATATAGAAGACCGTGATTCTATCGTGTGCCTCGTTGTTGTTTCCTGGGTCAGGAGGAGCTCGATTGCTGGACCATTTGCTTCTCTGTGTCGAACTAATGAGTTGATCTCATCCCAAATGCAAAGCGAATAGAAGCCTGTCACCAAGATCCAGAAAATGCATTCTCCCTTATGATTTTAATATCATCAATCCGAATCTTGCGCTTGTGGCCGACGAAGTGTTATGGCATGAAACAAGTCAGACCCCAGCTTTTGTGGAAGATCAAGATCGGAGCAGGCCACCCTCTGATCCAATATCCTCATTCAACAGTATCAAGGGCTCCGGATTGGACTGCTGGGGAGATGCTGATGACTCACAAGCCCTAACATCGAACAGCTCGTCGGTTCAAGGGAAGAACATTTGACCCGATCTGAGCCCTTAACAAATATGACTAATCCTCCATCACCGCCAATCGTCTGTAATTACCGAACCGCACTGAATCAATGGGTAAAGTCAGCAGCAAAAGATAGTTCGCATATGCGCGCTGACGTGAGTCGCGAGCCGTTAAGGGCCTAGACCTTCTCGTCGTCGGTCCTCGGCGTGTCGCCAGGATCAGGTAGCATTGGTGTCACAAAATCGCTCAAATGGAGATCCTTTTCGGACCTTTGGGGCGTTGAGAAAAAAGAACAAAAGAAAAATTGAGACAGCCGCTACACAACAAAAGCATTGTCAAGGAAGAAATACTCAAAAGGTACCCTGCATCCCGGCCGGTGGCACACCGATTTGCCGCCGTTATAGTCCGCGGTGAGACATTTTTTATCACCACCCAAAGTAGCGCCTACCACTTTTCTTCGACCTGGCTATAAACCCACGTCTGCGATTGGCACACAAAGGCAACCCTGTTAGATTGGTACGAGATGCAAGCAGTTCGGGCCAGAACACGCCTACCCCTCCCTCAGGTTGCCAACATGACGCCAGCCGCCGTCACGGACCCATCGGGGGGTTTGCCCCGGGCGGCAAACATGGAGGGCAAAGAGGGGGAGACTTGTGGGAGTTGGCAGAGCGGACACGCCCGCCGAGAGTTCCAACTTTGTGCCGATGGTCCATAGTTCCGGTACAGCTTGCTGGGTGACTGGTGTCATTCTTGCTTGGTTCAAGGCGTGGAAAAGCAAAAATGCGACATCAGGGATTGGAGCCTTGTGGGACCGTTTGTGAAAAAACTAGCACAGGCACGCATCCGCCCTGTCGATCGCTGCGGCGCTATGCCTGCCGTGGACTCGTGGCTTGTTCCTGAGTCCCAATTCTCATCTTCCGACTGGCCAAAGCTGAGGATGACCAAGCCTTGCTGTCAGCCCATCCGCGCTTCCACACCGAGTCAAGCGTAAGCACGGCGGTGGGCTCCCCTCGACAGCGTTTCGACTAGTCATGTTTGCTGACCCGGTAGGTTTCTGTGCGTTGCGTTGTACCTGCGTCTCCCGCCAACCCGAGATCACCAAGAGGATCCTCCAGGGTTCCAAAGAAGGAAAAGTGCCAACGACTCCCGTGCCGTCAGGGCAGTATTCCGTCCCCTCGGCCCCCCTCCGGGGCTTTGGGGCCTTGACTCGGCCTTGCCACAAGCCAAATTGCGGTTGGTTCCTGAGCTGTTCCTGTCATCAAACCTAATTCGGGTGCCCTTGGCCCATGAGCGATTTTCAATACCCTGGCAGGGCGCATCTCCATCCCCTTGCCGAGCCTTGGCCATGTTTCCTGCTGCTGTTTTCTTCGACGCTTCGACGTTGGCTTGACGTTTCTGGCTGGCCAAACGTCGCAAACATGATGTAGCTTGCTCGCTTATTCGCAGCTGCTCCTCCCGTCAGGGTTATGGGATAGCAAGGTTTTCGCTTTGTTTCTGATCGTAGCACCGCAGTCTGGAAGTGAGGGGGACATGTTCTTAGGGGTTCCACGGCCTTAGCTGCCAGATTCATGGCAAGCGTTGATTTGTCCAGCGGATCTAGCTTACCAACTGTGGTCAATCCAACTCAAGTAGCTCTGTACCTGTGGTGGTCAGTCATCCTCTGGACCACGCATTCCTCAGGCCCCCACCTCCCTTTGGCCCTTCTCATACATACTCCGTACTACGTAGTCAAAGGAGTGAGTCCAGAGCAAGGTCGCCGTCAGGGATTGCAGGGCGGTCCTGCGAGGACCGTCTTGGCTGTACATCTCAGTCAGGGATTGAGGCGTTTGTGGGGACAGGGAGGCGTCTGCTACGTGGGCCTCCGTAGATGGACCGAAGGGGGAGACACAGACTTGCAGCACGTGTGAGTGACATCTCATCTTTCCGGCTGATGTTTAACGTTTTCGTCCCGTCTCTTGTAGGGGTGGCATTTTGGTATATAAGCCCGAGCATCATCACTCTCTATGGTGGTCTGGTCCTTTCACCACCACCACCCTCCACACACTCCCTTTTCAACTCGCTTCTTTTATCTTTCACTCCCTCGGCAGGATCCGAAAGCTCGCAGATCAGGTATCACTCCTTTGAACGCTCAATCAGCAGCTTCACTCCTTTGCAAGCCCAGTCTTCCTGTCCTTCGACAATAGCCTTAGATCAACGAGATCAACTCAGCAGCCTACCGAACCACAAACAGTCCCTTCCAGAACCATTACCACATACTTCGACTTCAGTCAATATGTTCTCCATCACTTTGTCCACCTTCCTTGCTGCTTCGGCCAGCTTGGTCTCGGCCGCCTCCATTCCGGTCCGGGATGCCGGCAAGTCCGGCTCCGCCAGCATTACGCCCCACGACGCCTTCTCTTCTTCCATCGGTGTCCTTGGTTGCAAGATTGACATTAACCGCGTTGCCTACTGGCCCAACTCCGTCGGCTGCGATGACATCTGCGTTAAAGTCTCCAACGGCGACCGCAGCGTCAACCTGCTCCGCATCGACCAGTCGGGCGGTGCCTTCGACATTTCCTACGATGCCTGGAACTACCTTAGCACTGGCAAATCTGCCACCGATGCTCCCACCGAGGGCGGTGGTATTCCCATGAACTGGGAGACCGTCCCCGCCAGCGAGTGCAAGGACCTCCTCAAGGACGGCGGCAGGCTGCCCCTCTCTGCTGCCAACAGCATGAACTACCTGTCTTCTTGCCTTGCCCAGCCTGAGAGCTTCGTGGCCAAGAACCACGCTCTCTTCAACATTCAGAACTCTGCCTGCACCTGGGGTGTCGATGAGGAGTGCAAGCTCGACCTGGCAGTCAGCAACCAAGCCTCCTGCCCCAGCGGCCTCGGCAGCATCAAGGCCTTGACCAGCCTTCCTGTCGAGAACATTGCCTACGGTACTGGCAAGCTTTCTGTCGCTCTTCAGTGAACGCACGAAAGCGCATATTTATGATATGATGCACACGAATTTTACGATACTTGTATATACTTGATAGAAAGGGATTAGCAAGAGAAAAGGATTACTTCACTTTCTACTACGATACTTGGAATCCTATAGTGATGTAATGCCCTGATGAACCGCAAATTTTTGAACACTCTGGAATGCCACATCAACCACATGCCATCCTCGGCCGTAAGGGAGATAAGCTATCTTCAAGGATTTGATGAGGAGGTAAACTTGTGACACTCGATGGTGGCTCTAGACCAAGAACCCTCCGTAATACATTGATACGGTCAGCCCATTTAAACCATTAGTGTAAGAAACTGAAGGCAGGCCTGGGCTCTCAAAAATCCCCCAGGAATATTTATAAATGTATCAAGACTTCCCCCACGCGACAATGAGCTCTGACACAGTGATGTACGTCAAGAAAGTATGGTTGGCACCTAGCTTGGATTTCATTGCAACTTGGCCGACTGACGAACATCTCTCATTGTAACATAGCCGCTTCAAGAGCGCCTTCAAGACTCTAGCGCTCCTACAGGGTCCCACAAAGGCTCCACAAAGCTTTCAATCAGAAGGGGATATCACAATTGATTTTTTGCCGTACCCCTTACCATTTGTGGAACCAAAGACGAAGATCTCCGATAATACACGTGTACGAACGAGACCCTGAGCCACCAAGGTCACTAGCAATATGCCCAGGAACATATCCCCTGTCGGATTGACTTGGACTGACAGGCGAGGGTCTGCTTGAGATTGACCGAGATCGTCCCAATCAATATATCCCATTACATCTCCCTGTATGTTTAGCCCCCAGAAGATTGATCGTGCAGCGCATTCTGAACCCGAGAGTCCAAAACTGATCGGTACAAAGGAAGCTGTTGCAACTCTTCCGGAACCGTATGAGGAGCCAGAAACAAGGGCCATATCGGAGCTGGCTGGTTGATGCTTGGATAATATTAGAGGTCAGTAGACGTCTAGAAGAAGTAGAACAGAAAGAATAATGATAAGAAAAAGAGGAATTAGCGTAAGAGGGTGGATTGGACTGAGTTGGGTTGAAATGATGACTAGGAAGCTTACCATGTTTACCCAATTTCTTCTTCGTGCCTTTTCCATGAAACCCACCTGACTAGGAGATGCTGGGCCGAGTATATGGCGGCTCTGCTCCAAAGATCATTCACAAAGAACCATTTCAGTTATCTATCACACACTGAGACCAGGTCATTGAACGACTAGATGAATTATATTCTTGGCATAGGATGAGGTGACGGTTGACAGAGTTGATGGCAAGCGGTTTGTACCCATTGCTGACTTTCAGACGACACTCTAGATCAATCAAATTGACCTGTCTTGCAGGCCAACAATAGAATCTCTAGGCGGAAGATCCCTGCCAATATCGCATTCTTTTGAAGCAATCTATGCCATTCGCTTTTCTGTACCGGCTTTGGATTCGGTCCGCCTCCGACATCTGAGGTCAAGTCGAGATGCTCTTGAAATGACCAGAGTTATATCAATTATTTGATATATAGAATTATTTTCACCAATGAGCTAGCATAGTTGTTGGAATCGCTTAGGCAGACGACACCTTATAGATTTGATATAGTCCTTGCATATTCCTTTGATACGTTGATGATACATTCAAATCTACTCCGCGTCTCTACTAAGTGATAGTTGTGAAACCGGGTCTTAGGTTGACTGACTCCACGTGTCCCCAAATAATCCGAAGCACCTGCCTTGGGTTGAGCGCTGAATCCAACATCACGCGGTGGCGGCATTTCCGAGGGATTCACTTTTCTTACTCCTATTTAGCCTAACTATCCTCCCCAGTTGTCAAACTATCTGGCGCTCTCCGACCACCTTATGAACGTCCTTGTTTTCCTATGTAACGCAACTCGCATGCGCTTAACTCTAACATGTTCCTGCTCGAAATATTTACACCTAACATTTGGGCACTAATCGCAACTTATCATTGACGGCAAGGAGCTTCTCGGAATTCCAGCTCTTACCCTTCAGGAAGGGGTCCAAAGTAAGAAGTCAACGCTGAACAGATCTCCTTTAACTGGCGTCGGAAACTGGAACGTCGGCTTAGCCAGAATACCTTCAGCGACTTGTCAGACCTGTTTATCGAAAACTACCGGCAGAGGGATATGATTGGACTGTCGTGTGATTGCGCCTGCTCACAGGGCCAAGAAAAGATTGGCAAGTACCTTGCCTCGGCAGAATATGGCCGCTCAAACCTGTAAGCCAACAAGATTGGCGTTCTGAAGCCGCTGCTTCTTAATTTTGGAGATATGGTTGGGACCCAAGGCGAGTTCACGATCAAGGCCGGCATGGCAAGGGTGATGTATTATTGAAGCTGGGAAACGTTGCAAGAAAATGAATGGAAAGCCTGGACCGTGTTCACACAGATCGAGAGCTCAACTTCCAAAACGAGGTGGGGGCACAGAAGGCTGAGTCGATTCCGCGGCCCAGGCCGCCTACGGCGAACGGCGACAAAGGCCATGGCAACCTTGAATCTGAATATGTTATCCAGGCCTTGGTTGTTGGTGCTGGTGGGTTATCGCAAAGCCCAATGCCATCTCGTTAGAACTCCTTTCCAGCTGAAACGGAACAGCCAAATCTGGTTTGATGCTCGGCGCAAAACTCTAACACATTGGTATCAAAATGCTTCTGGTAGAATGAAGCGCCCAGCTTGACGACTCATGACGTGAGCGATAAAAGAGCGTGGCTAATCATACGCCTACTTGAACTGACCACTGGTCCTTCATGGATATCCCCGAGGCCTGGCCCCGGTTGCTGACCTGAAGGTTGCTGAGTTCATGGACTACTGGGCATCTGGTGGGTGTCGAAATTGCCTTCAGCATAGCAACCACGGGGGCGACCTGTGATGAGGTAACTCGAGAATACCTAATGGAAATGTGAACGCCGGAGGGCACGCGAACAACCTCGACGCGATACGTGGTAAGTATAGATTAATACACACAGTTTTATAGGTGTAGGTATATCGGCTATAGATATTCTAAACAAGGACATATTATAGGTCTTATAAATAGGAATAGACCAGCTTAGGATTAGGAGAAAACCTGTTTTCTAAAATAATTTCTCTTATGGACAGAAAGAATTAAGGTAAAGCAGGGCTATAAAAAGATAGATATAACTGCGTTTTTATGGAAACGTATATAAACGTGTTTCTATAGAAATATATATAAATGTGATTTTATAGAAACAAATACTAGCCTACTAAAGGTAACTATATAAATATACTATTGAGAAAGGGCGGGGCATCTGGGCCACCTAACAAAGGAAAAGAAGAATGGCAAAACATGGGAAAACCACCCACACTACAACAACGTCTGATAATAATAATATATATATCAATCGATAGGTCTTGCGATTCTCAGACCTAATCTGCAAAGATCTTGAAATAAAAGTACGAATTGACGGAGCAATCGCAAAAAGAGTGAATTTCACTAAAAAAATAAAAGTGCGGTAAGGACTGGCAGTGTATTTTTTGTATGGAGTATTAAGGCTAACGATCACGAGTGTGTATGAATTCTTTTGTGCCTCCTGGCCCTTCATTGGGTCTGCGAATCCCTTTTTGAATAGATGGGTGGTCTTCCCATTGATCCATCCCTTGGATTGACCACCACGTGATTCCTGGGACCATACCACTCAACCCCATTACACTATATATATAATACTTACTAACGTAGATTAAACCCTGTAATCTAAATTAATATATTTTAATCTTAAATCAGATATTACATACTAAGATAGAGATCTTATTTACTAAATTAGGTGTTGTATACTGAAATAGAGATCTTGTAATCTTAAATAGAAGTATTATAACTAAGCTAAAATTAAGACACTATAAACTAAGATACTATTTATTAAGACAAGTGAAGATACACATCTTAAGAAAGGACTAAGGCTCCAGGCCACTAGAGAGAAAAAGGCAAAAGAATAATAGGTATAAAAACCATAACCTACCTAAACAACAGCCGATCAAGGCAAGGTCTATACCACAAGATAGCTGTAGCAATCCTCAGATCTAGTATGAAGATAGAATCCAAAACGACTAAAGGGTTACTAAGATACAAGTCAAAGAGTAAAATATATTATAATAATAAGAAGTGTACATGCAGTAATAACTATGTATTTCTATATAATCTATTGCCTAGCACTGTTTCCACGGCTGCGTTGCTCTGCAAGATAACTACCCTATCCCACTTCCGCAAATGCCGAAAATGCCGCATCATCAACACCACCACCTTTTTCAAACTATCATAACAATTGCCATATATCGCCAAACAACGCCATTTTTTTTTTCGGAACACCTTCTTTAACTCATCATGAAGCAGTATGAGCTGCAACGGGCCCTTATGGATGTGGGAGATAGACGCCCTATCAGTGAGGTTGCTCGTCAATGGGGCATCCCATACCATACTCTTTATCATCGGCTAAAGGGCAGGCAAAGCAAAAATGCTGCCTATCACCATATGCAGCGATTATCCCAGTCGCAAAAGGATAACCTAGCTGCCTATATATGCCTTCAAGATTCCCTTAGCAAGGCCCTTACCTATCAGCAAGTGAAGGGACTGGCAGAGCGTATGATAGCCGATGGGCAGCAACCCATAGGGAGGAAGTGGATGGCTCGATTCCTGCGGCGAAACCCATCTATTAGAACCAGGTGATCCAGAGCAATAGATGCCCAGCGATGAGCAGCCTATTCTTCCGAGGTTATCTAATAATTCTTCTATTGTCTTGCGCATATCTGTAAGGGAGTAAGTGGGGACTTCCCTTAATAAGTGTATATGTGGTGCAATGCTGGCACAAAGTGCCAACATTGGTTGATCTTTTAGGCATTTGCCTAAACGGTCTATAGACAGGCTTAGTACACCACCTAAGTTCCTTGACATTATGTTAGCACTCTGTAGGTCTTCTAGCTAAGCAACAACATAGGTAGTACGCATATTTAAGTCCTAGTTATAACGCTTACGTTAGGCTTAGAGGGACTACAGTGCGTAGGCTAGGCCTAGTGTAGCAGCTAGAAAGATACTAGCTAGCGCTAGGACTAGGCGCCTAGGGCCTTTAGGGTTAATATACACTAAAATACTCTAGTATATAGTTACTAGTGTGCTCCTATAGTAACTTAAGGGTAAGTTATAGTAGGAAGGAGTATAATATAAGGGAATAAGTGGGGACTTCCCTTAATAAGTGTATATGTAGTATAATACTAGCATAAAGTGCTAATATTAGTTAATCTTTTGGGCATTTGCCTGAACAGTCTATGGACGGGCTTAGTACACCACCTGAGTTCTATGATAATATCCCTGCTATCTAGGGAATCTATCTATTCAACCGATGGAATATGGATGAAACTGGCATCATGGAAGGTAAGGGAGCTATTAATGGGCTAGTGCTGGGCTCTGCGGCATCGCGGCATATGCGAAAGCAGCCAGGACCTTGGCGATGGATATCTATTATTGAGTGTACCCTCATCGATCGGCTGATCTACGGCATTAACTACACCAGTTAACCCAGATGGGCCAGGATAGGCTGGGTACCTATACTATTCGTCATCTATCCAGAAAGGGGTAAAAGGGGTATAAGGAGCAGGTATCTAGACTGGACCTTCTAGAAAGGCAGGTTAACGCGTTATGGGCCCAGTTAGAAGATCAACAGTCACGCAAGGGGGAAAAGGACCCCCTATCGCCTAACAGTACCTTTGCCACTATAGAGCATATCTGGCGGGCTAGAAATACGGATACCGGCGATATAGATAGTCCGGATGAATTCAGCGTATCTGGATTATCTAGCGAGGCCGAAAGTTGCATATAGGTGGGCGGCAAGCCCGAGGAGATAAGTGGTGATAGTGGTGGTAGTGATGGTGATGATGATTTGCGCAAGTAGGGTGGGATAGTTAT